ACACACACATACATGCACACACACACGCACACACACACACACACACACACACACACATACACACACACAAACATACATGCACACACACGCGTACGCACGAACACGTGCACGCCCATATAAACACACACTCTTCCCTCACACATCCTCTCTTCTTCACCAATCTGTACACATAACCATAATAATACAATAGTATGCTTCCAATCACAAACAGGCTCACAGCCACATGCATATTAAGGTAAATAAACAGTAATTACAAACGTTGATAGTGTTAGGATAATATACGTACTCAGTTGTTTTTATTGTAACTCTGTGGCATTCTGATGAATGCTTTTAAAGGTCATAAGAATACTAATTATAACAAGATAATAAAGATAGTTCAGTGGAACTCCGATTCAACGCAGTCATCGTGCCTGGCCTCCTATTTAGTTGAATCCGAGTATTCGTTATAACAAATAGTAGGTTTTGGTGTAGATCGAGCAAGTAATGCATAATGTATTCGACTTTCTCAACCAAAAGTAGTTTGGTTTCAAATGAGAAGCATTTTCGATTCTTTGCCGAAGAATTGCTGAAAAATTCATGGAATATTGGACAAAGGGGGCCGACTTGTTCAAATGCACGCCTGTATCATCTATCTATAGCGTATTGTTTACCGAACAAGTTATGTTGCTGTTTAGAGCCTAGCATACGGCAACGTTTGATTCCACAGTCCAGGGCATACGATAGATCTATATCAAGATTAGCTTACCCTTGTAATATTGATTTGTAGCTCTACTGACATACCCCACCCCCAGCATGGAGAAACAAACACACACACACACACACACACACACACAGAGAGAGAGAGAGAGAGAGAGAGAGAGAGAGAGAGAGAGTCACACTTCACATGTGTGCTGGCCACCTGTCCGACCCCGACAGACACACGCTAAGACATGGTTGCGTGCTAACAACGCGTGTGTTGGTATGAAGGGAGTCTGCTGATTGGTCTCATAAAGCAGTTAACCTTGCAAACGACTTTGCCCATTTATTTGTTCGTTGAATCCGAGTTATTTTTTAAATTGATTTTTATGAATAAAAAATTCGGGGAATCCAACTCTTTTCATTTAATCCGAGTTTCGTTGAAACCGAGTTCCACTGTAGAAGTTTAATGGATGATGGGAAAGATGACTTTCTGTATCTTTTTTTGTTCCAGATCAGAAGCCTATGTCTTTTGTTTCTTGTAGATATTTTCATTTGAGGGAACAAGGGATGTTAATTGTTCAAAAAGATGAAATTAATTTGTTCTAGTGCAAGCGATAATATTTAATTCATCGACGTTTGGGAATGTAGATGTTGAAATTGTGCATGCTCTCCATCTTAATCGATTCAATTTTTCTTTTATCTTGTTGTCCTGTGTTCCCGGCACATGCTGTTAAACAGAAATTGATTATACGTTCTATGGTAGAATGATTAACTATGGACATCAATGATTTACCACATTTAAAAATTCATGAGCTTCCAAATTTTAAAAAAGGGATTTTGTTCATTTTTTATGCAGGAGAGAAGTGTTGACAGGACAATCGAGTTTGTTGTCAATTGTACCACCCAAATACTAATAATCTGACACTTGCTCGACGTTTTCATTCTAAATTTTAGTGGTAACAGGGGCATTTTCTTTTTTTCCCTAAAGTCAACAACCTACTTTGTTTATTTCACGTTTAAAAAGAAGCTGATGAATTTCACACCACTCAGAAAAAAAGAAATAAAAAGAAATTGCCCCTGCTATTATTCGAAGTTGAAAAGTTTATCTATGTGGGCAAACATATATAAAAACTATATAAAAACCGAAATTCGGATGCATATAGAGGATCACTAAAATAAATGATAAACAATAACCTAGCCTAGAAATTGCTCATTTTGAGACTTCTATAATAGCAGTGGGATGAAATCTACAAACTTCCATTGAAATGTGGAAGCAGGGTGGTGTTGCTGTCTTAAAATGAGCAATGTGTAGGCTAGGTTGTTCTTTTTATTTTAGTGATCCTGTATAATATCCATACAAATAGCGGTTTTCAATATAGTGCCCAAATAAATAAACGTTTATATTACTCCATCTATTTGTATAAATATATTATCTTTGTTTGGTGTCTGGCCTGCAGCTCAGTTTCGTTGTCATTTTTTAATTCATAAATAAGCTATAGCTTGTTCCTCTGTCTGCGTTAAAGAAAAATCCTAGCTTATTTATTTATTAATTCACCTATTTGTAGGTACCGCAGACGGCCCATTTTCAAGGCAGACAGCTTCGGCTGAAGCCAGATTTGGACAACTTTATCCAACTATTAGCTGGTTTTAATTTTTGTAAACACTAATAAAAAGGATACCACTGCTTTCTGTGTCTTTCCTTCTCCATGGTGAACGAGAAACTGATACTTATGATTGCATATTTAGTTTTTAATTGACTAAAGTTTAACACGGGAAAACTCGGGCGTCTCGCAATTTGGCGCGCTTAGATTTGGGGGGTACTTGTTTTAAATTTCGATTTCCCAGCCGTGAATCATCGAATTTTCTTGCGGTTTCAGGAAATTTTCCGGGGAATGTGTTTTTGTTTTTATTCCGAGCGGAAAGCTTGAGTGGTACGATGTAAAGACGAAGAAAGCATTTAAAAATATGAAATTCGACACAAATCGGGCTATCCGTGCCAGGATCATATTCCTAGACATCTCTACCATCTAGTTTATGTGTTTAGAAAAGCCAACTACGTTCCACGAAGTAGAAATATTACTTTTTCTGAAGTGGGGTAACAACCACTTTCGGGAGGTCGTCATTCTGCCATTGTGGCTGTTCCATCGCCCATTGCCACCCCGTCTGACTTGACCCAATCAGCTGATGATTATATGATGGTTCAGTAAAAGAAACATTCGATAGATCTGTTTATGGCGTCAATTTATGTAAGTGTTATCATCATTTTCTTTTAGGATACTTATGAATATCGTGTTTTGAAAAATAAGACTAATCGGCCACCACTTGCCGTGTGAATGGATTGTTATTTTTGGTGGGAATCACGCCGACCTACATTTCTATCACCTCATAATCAATTAATTGCGATCTATACAACTGTATCGTTTCGTGGTGGTATTTTTGCTGTCTTTTCAACTAAGAACACCTTATTTATTCTAAATGCATCGAAATCTAAGCATCTCTGGTCGAAAAAGTGAAAGAATAAAGCCGTGAAGAGTTGAACTGGGAGTTCTATTTATAGTAACATGTCATCACACACTACTAAGCACTCGGAAGGGGGTTACTGGGTGTTAGTGTTACCGATGGAAATGTTCGAAAGAACTAGATCTACGTTCTTGATTGGTGGATATTCAGTTATTGAATCAACCAGCCTTTGTACGTATTCTTAGACTTAGTTAGACTTAGATGTCACCTGATAAATGGAGAAATGCCCCCCCCCCCCCTCTTTCTTCCATCCACTTACTGGTCTCACGATTATACATTGTATTTCCCCAGCCACTGGTTTCTTTCTCAGCTAAAATGATAAATAAATCTAGAACTACATCTATATTATACAAGATGACCCACGGTAGAACAGTATGTTGATTTAATTCCAATTTTTAAACCCCCTGAGCAGAAATCTTAATTTTCTGAACCAATATTGATGACTTTTTTCACATTATTGTCCATTTCTGAAATGTTTGGAAGGTTTTTACTTTCTATAAACTAATTCACTGTACAGGGCCTTAAAAGAGCTTTAATTTGATATATAATGCAGCCTTGTTGCACAATTTGTTATTTTATATGAATTTTTTCCAGTCGGGCGGACATTATAATTTTCACTCAATAATGGAAGGTTTTGGGGCATTAGGGCCCAATTATGGAGTGTTTGAGAGGTTTTAGTAAACAATTTTCATTTAGCCTCGTAGAGCTTGCTTTGAGCTTTAATTTGATGTATGATTGAGCCCTGTAGCTTAATTTGTTCACTTGTTATGATGCTTTTTGCCCGAGGATGTACCAGAGTTCCCCTAATTTTTTTCCAAGAGGCGTTTTTTGCACCGAAGCCCACTTCAGAGGAGTCCATAAAAGTTACTTATGGTCAGAGAGGTCTGAAAAAAAATCAGCTAATTCTATGCATGTATTTGTAAAGATTGTAGGCTTTTCACTAATGAGGAGGCAGTTTTGACTAATTTGGAAGAGGTTGAAATGGGATCTGAGCTCTTAATGACAAATGTTGGCTTTTTTTTCAATTTTTGAAGGCCTATATCTTGGAATCCAGTCATTCTAACATGCTTTGATTTAGAGATATCCATATTTGTGTTGAGAGCTCTGGGAAAAACAAAGTTTTCATTGATTTGATCATGCACTTTTTATTTTAGAACACCTCAAACATGGGTGAAAGTCGCAGTTGAAAAGGTTTCGTTCAAAAATAAAACTTTGAAATACCATATCTCGATTGTTTATTGATAGACTTTTATAATTCTTTTTTTTATGTTCTTGTTTTATAGTGTAGATGTGAACCCCTAAGGTTTAAACATCAATATTGTTCAAAAATAATTTTGCTTGTGGTACCAACTATTTGCATAAAACAAAACCAATCTGGGAAGAAACGAATGATCAGTCCTGCAGTTTGATTATAGATACGATGATTTTGCGGAGCTTTGATAGATTTTGTTTGC